ACTATGCTGCTATTAAACCGATAATGCACACATAATGGATTTGCTTTGTTTTCTTTTTTGGTATCATTACGTACACATAATGTTGGTTAAAAATTCTTTTTCCAAATCACAATAAATTGGGGTTAACTTTATATATGAAAGTTCTTTTCACAGCAAATTTTAATTGTTTTTATACTTAATATTTTTCCTATATTTCTATTCATTGTGTACTAAAACATTTGTTGCTATGTATTTAACTAATGTTCTAGAAGGCCCTGGCCGTGCAACAACATAGTGTCAGTGGAGTTCTGGCAACCCGTATTCATTTATCGTCCGGACCATCCATTACGGGTGCTTTTCAATTTTAGCTGTTAATGTCCCTCAATTGCGGTTTGTGTGTTTTTAAATTCAAATTTTTTCATCTTATCTAATCCAAATTTCCCCCTTGCTATAATAAAACGTTCGGAGACATTTCATTGCTTACGACGCGGAGGTTGGCAACAATACTGTTTCCTTACTCGTCCAAGTAAAACTGATAAGGGTATGTATGTCAAGGCCAATGAAAACATGCATAGCACACGCGCCGACCGTCACTGTAGCACATATTTTCCAATTTGCAACCCTACTTACAAGGTACAAGCCCATTGCACGCCCAACCTGGCCACAGCCGTCCAAAATGTATAACTATTCAAATGTCAGGCGAAGAAAGACGCCTACGCACCTGCAAGGCCGCAGCACTTAACGGCAAAGCTGTTCATAATCGCGGGTGGGGCGACAGGGATTTTGATATAGGCTCCGCCGTCACAATATTCGTCCAAAATCCAACTCCAAAAGCCGTGCGATGGGCAGGCTCCATCGCTACCGGCCACCGCGTGATGAAGAACACTCGCAAGAACTGCTGGTTGATCGAAAAACCCACATATCGCACATTTTCCTTCACAGGGGGTACATGTTGCACAATCAATGTCGACAATTACTTGTGCTTATTTTGCCCTAAGTCCTCATTTGGTTTATACTTATATATAACTGCCTGAATTGGTTCTACATTAATGCACAGGAAGTCTATTCAATTTATCCTAGAGGGTCGTCAGTCGAAATTATGGAGTGGTGGAAGAGGCTGCCTCGTAAGGTGGCCGCGAAAGTTGTTAGTGCTGGGTTTGGGGATTTTCTGAGCCACTTGCCCGTGGCCGATAGAGATAGGAAGTTGCCTGTCGCACTTGCGGAGCGATGGTGGGACTCAACAAACTCCTTCCACTTGCCTTTCAGAGAGATGACACTGACACCCTTGGACTTCACCTGTATAACCGGTGTTGCAGTGGGCGGCTTGCCCATTCCGTGGGATTACAATGTTAGCGAAAATGCCAATTACATCAACGAGCAATTGGGTTGGGTGCCAGCTTTTGCTTCGGCCGGTGCCATCAGAGTTACCGATATATTGTCATTCTACAAAGACAAAGCGATTGACGACAACGACGACGTCTAGCTAGCACATCTAACTAGAGCTTTCTTTCTCTACATGCTTGGCCGCACTTTACTTAGTAACACGGCCGAAACAATTCACCTGTGCTGTCTGCCTGCGCTGGAGGACGTAGATCGTATAGGAGATTATAACTGGGGAGGGGCGGGGATGGCAACCTTGTACAGATTTATGTCCGCCATCTCCCGACGTCGGACGAAAAGCCTTGGCGGCTACAGCTTCGTTTGGGAGGTAAGTCCAGAATTGCCTTCACTCTGTGTCAATTCGACATTACCATATTCCGTTACATAAACTTTTCAGGCAGTTAGTGTTCATCTCGAACGCTGGACATAATTTGTACGACAACCTGTAGGTGGGGGCTTATGAAATTCTTCAGTTAGGTCCGTATAAACTGAAATAGGACGAGAGGGACGTATTGCCCACAATGTGGCGATGGCGCTCGTGTAATAGAGCCAGCCGACAATCACCGTCTACGGTCGAACATTTTCGCCGCGCAATTGACACCATTAACCCGGAAAACGTTAGTTCCCGTACTTAGGACATCCAATAGTTTCTACCGCCTAAGTGTTAACTGTTGTTATGAATTTGTTCCGCCTGTTGAACAAACCAATGTTACATCGCTTGTTAATTGTGTGTCATAGGTCAACTGGCTGCCATTCCCTGCAATGGCATTGCCGAGTCGGTATCTCAAATCCAAGGAATTAACTGCAACGAGATTGCTTTTGGATGGCCCCATGGGACGATTTTACTACCTGGGCGAGAGGGTTATTAGGCAGGTGTATGCAGGTATATGTGCAAAGCAACCTCCCCATCGGTCATCAGATATGTACAGCACTGATACAATTTCAGGAAACACGCTACATGATTTGCTTCATGGACTGCCCATTGCAAGCCTTTTCCCAGATCCCCCTCCATATGCTACGTATGACGAGTTTGTGCGCAGCAGGCTAATGAAACCAATGACTTCCTCCGCGTTGCCACCCAGTGGGAAGGATTGCCTAATTCATATATGTGACCACTTGCCACTAAGTGAGGCTAGAACACCGACACTGCAACATCCAATTAATTACCCTCCCTGGTCTGTGTTGTGCATACAAACTGATGGATCACTGCAGCAAGAGGGCATTTACAGAGTTGGTGGCGATGTAATAGGGTTGCCTCTTCCATGTGCTGTTGGTGATGTGGTATGGCATTCTTCGCCTTGTACTTCACTCGGCATTTAATTTTAGCAATTTGTGTAAAATTAATACAGCCATCTGTGTTGTTTTCACTTAGGTGCCTAGACAATGGTACGGGAACCTGCTTGTTCAGTGCATGGTGCTCAGAAAGAAAGTGTTAGAAAAAAGTGCAGAAATATTTCGTTTGGCATCCAATGTGTCGGACAACTCACAAGTGGTGAACCAAAGGCTACATCAAATACAGGTAATTTTGGAAAGTGCATTGAAGCTCCAAAAGGGGGCAGGGAAACGCTGCCTTCGCGGTGGAATTGGTGGCCCGGAATCCTGTGTTTCTAAGCGTCCGAACACAAGTGCCGGGACGGAGACATTTGCGGATGACCTTGGTAGAGGCAAAGCTCACGAATGTCAGGGAATTCATAATGCCAAAGACTGAGCACCCATGACCCATAACCGCAAACAAGGTTGTGTAGCCGGAGGAATGAGCATGCAAACTAGTTGGGAGTCCCCACCAACAAAGCCGAGCTGTGAGCAATCGCCACGTCTGTTGTGTACTTCTGATACAATTTTAAACTTGAACACAGAAAATGTTAACAGTTGACAGATAATTGGTAATATTGAATTTGTTTCTCTAAATTTGTACCGTTTAACTGCTTTGATAGAAAATTTGTCACCGTCAATTTCCCACAACTAATTTATAGTCTTGTTCTTATTTTTCGTCTTACAACAAAACAATTTAAATGCAAGTTGTTGTTACTATAAATCTATCATACTTAATGCATTACATTGTTCGAACTTATTTATATCAGTTCAAGTTTCCACACAGTTGTACAAGTAATTAGTGTGAGGGAGGCTGACGGAGCATTGCTACCTAAGTGGATTGTTCCAACAGGGTATACCAATTTTTGTTAAACTATGTCACCAAAATAAATTGATGTATCAAAGTTGTTCGGATGGAGTGTCAGTAAACATGTGGAATTTTTTCTACAGTTCATAGGAATTTAGATTACGTACATGACGCGGACATTGCATAACTGTTATAAATCATATAGAAATTCATTAATCGTGTGCAAACAAGTTACGTAAAATAGTAAACTCCAACGGAAATGTACAAATGCTGTAAAAATAATTAATCATAATTGATAGTTATTGGCTAATTAAATATATTAGTACAAATGTATTATTAAAGTTACTCGAACTAATTAATAATTTCTATTAGTAAATATGTATAATTATTAATATAATTCATAATATTAATTATATTACATAAATTAATATACATATATAATACATATAACTAATAATACCATTGTTATTATTGGTGCACTGAAGAGACGCATAAGCATTGTGAGCAATGAAAATAGATGGGGAGAAACAGAAGTTACTGTTCCTACACCTGAATGGAACGATGGGCAAAAGAAAAGGCGTTGGGCCTTACGGTCATTGGTTAGGATAGCAAGGAGAGAAACAAACAGCCCATATCGTAAAAGCTGTTTATAGCAGCAGCGTAAGGCACCAGTTTACAAAACCTGGGCAACTGAAGCTGATTCCCAAGTAGCCACTTCGGAAAACATCTATCCCACGAAGAGATTTTGCGCAACATACGTTTCCACTTAATTTCCTATTTACAAAAAAGGACCGTAACAAGTTTGGTTCCTCTAATACACTATTTGTCAACTACTCGCTCTCCTATTAACCAAGTGCTGTAGCACTATTTGCTACAACAGTGCTTACGACGCAACCATGACAGTCATGCATCTTGTGCATCCTTCTGTGCATGACCCCTTCGGTGGAACTACAATGACTTACCCATCTAGACCTAGCAACCTTGAATACTCTTGCACCTCAACTCACCAAAACGTGCCTTATTTATTGCGTAACTGCAAACCGAAGCATCACAACAGTAGTGCCTCATCTTTCTCCTGGACTTCTTTGTTGGTCACCTGTGTCCCTTCCACCGCTACCGAATGGTTGTGCTACAAATGCTTGTCCTCTCCATTCGCCTGAGTCGCTCCACCCCGTACCAATTTCAAATAATTTTTCCAGCGAGTCATCCAAACAATTTTCCATATGATCTTCATGAACTGCTATGTTGTGCGAATTCTTTTTGTATGGGCATGTTCGTTGGTTGTGGCCTGCCTGCAATCTTCAACCCATATATCACATGTCAAATCATTTGTGACTGCAAGTAATCACGTCAACTAAGCACAATGCTAATATTACACCACTTCAACTTTCTTGCATTGCCAATAACTTTGTATACTTTGTATGCACTTTTAATTATGTGTTTATTTTCTTACTGTTGATAATAAGAACGAAAAATACCCACTTCTTCATTATTACGTTCACTGTCCACTTCATGTATTTTATCAATTAACTACTGTATAACTACGTATGCATTTCCGATAGTACCTGCAATGACCACACTTTCTTTTCTTCTTTGCTTCTGCATGCTTGTGATCACCTTTACACCGAGACACCCTGGGATCTAACAGCCCGAATGTTCTTCTACTTCTATCGTTCATCACTCTTGAATCCATTGCAAATCCGTCTCCCCCATATCCCCTTGCAATCCACTTCTCCTTTAGGTCCACAGAATGCTTGTCAAACATCTGCTGCAGGTCAATAAACGCATCATCCATGTAGGACGCATAGTAACACATAGTATTACAGCTGGACTTTAAAGTGCCATATCTGGCCATTTGTGTCAGCTGTTCGTCTGAAACAAATGTTTTCATTCCATTATTAGTACAGTAAACTCCCTTTGTCCACCGCTTCGAAATGCATGCTTCTGGGATCCTGTTCATTCCTTCTACCACCATCACGCGAAACATGTGAGCACAAGGAATCCCCTTTGACTCGAATTTCATGCAAGAGCATATTAGCTTCTCCATTGACCTATCATAATCCACCCTCCAACTTATTTCGTGTCCACCATATTTCGAGTAATAATATGTAAGACTCCCTCCATCCTCGCTCCAGCCCTCAGAAATTAGAAGTTCTTGCCTGTTCAAATGCTTCCTCACCATGAAGAACACATTCCTTGTAAACACCTCCGCTGCACTCCCCTCTAATTCGGGTAGAATTGTGGTTAAGACTGGTTTTGTGTTTTCGCTTGTGTAAACTGCTTTGCTCTTAGTATGTCGAAGCCATGCTATTGCCAAATCAAAACTTCTAACGAATTCATATAGTCGCATTTTTTCATTCAAGTACTCATTCAAAAAAGCATTCATTTTCTCACACCTTTGAGTACTTCTCATACCTGCAAAAAAATGACCGCGTAAATAGGCCTTTGCCCATAACCTTCTCCTACGGTACAATTTCTTCACCCACTCATTCTCTACCACCCCACATTTATTAACTAACCTAGCCCACCGATCCTCAAACTCAAAAGTGCTACACTTTCTCGCCATCAGGTTATACAACCTATTATTAAACTCCTCGCAGCGAATATTACTCCGTGCATTTCTATGCAAGTGCCACGAACATAGCCTGTGACAAGCATCCGGGAGAAGATTCTTTATCGCTCTTCGCATTGTACTGTTCCTATCTGTCATCACTGCTACTGGCTTTCTACCTTTCATAGCCTCTACAAATGTACTTAGCACCTATTCATATGTTTCAATCCTCTCATCTGATAGCAGTGCACAGCCAAAAATAGTACTGTTCAAATGGTTGTTTACCCCTGCAAGTACAACTAGTGGCTTGCGGTATTTATTTGTTTGGTATGTTGTATCAAACACCAATACATCTCCAAATACACTGAAATTCACACGAGATTTAGAATCTGCCCAAAACAACCTTACCAATCTTCCTTCGTTATCTACATGATATTTATAAAAGAACATGTCATCGGCATCCTTCTTCACTGCCAAGAACCCAAGTGCCCCTTCTGCATCGCCATTCAAAATATCTTTTCTACGTTCCTCGTCCATTCGGTTATACAGATCCTTAATGCAAAATCCCACGTTACTATACCCTCCGGCTTTGATAACAAAATGTTTCGTTATCTGGCATATTCTGGCCCCAACCAACTTTAGACTTTTTGCCTGCGCATATTCTGCATCGCTCACTTTTCTATGCGACCTAATGTGTTGCACACTTGCCTCTGATGCCAGCGGGTGATTGTGCTCCATAACGAAACGTGTCACCACATACTTTACCGATTCTATGTCATATTTCACGCGAAAGCAAGCCTCACATCCGGTCCTTGTGACTGGTTTTGCTTCTTTTTTCCGGTCTTCATAATTAAACCACTTTTCATTCCTATAACCTTCACAGCAACATACCCATTTTCTAAATCTTGAAATGCCATCTGCATCTCGTTTGGCATTACTTTTACGAATCCCAAATCCGCTTAGTTTCGCATACAAATTATAGAATTCCCCAGCTTCTTCTTCCGTGTCAAATGTTAATTTCATTACGTCATCCACGCCTATTGCGCCCACCAATTCATCTGCCTCCTCATTTTCGTGTCCTCCTATTGAACCACCGCTTTCTTCACTGAATGTGTCTCGGTCACACTCAGGTTCTTGGTTAAGGTCGCAACCATCCATCCCAATTTTTCCGTTCTCTGTTTCCTGCAACATGTCATGAGTTTTAAGCGCCCCATCCTGCCCCATAGTTACAACCCCTGTGTGGTTGTTCAATGTTTTTTCTAACCATGGTCGCTTAACTTTTTTTTTTCAGCCTCCCCATATGCTTTCGTTTGTAACATAAATACTGATCGTCTACTAATGGAACAAAACATATATACACGATCATTTCAGTTAACAAACCATACTTTACCTCACAACTTTCACAAAATGCAGACGATAAACATTACTCTAACATTCATATACACAGTTTTTATAAGTGTGGCTGATGCAATTATAACAACCTTTAGCACAAAATACCACTATCGACATGCATTTTCATTAACACCCACTAACTCAACCTCTACTGTGTGTTTCTTTACTTCTTTTCACATAACCATTCGCAATGCAGTACGGGGCCCATTATCGATGTCCACACGGCCATCCAAATCACTCTGTTTTAAGACTTTAGTCCTGTTACAACGTCTTCTTCACGTCTTCACTCATTTCTGCTTAATTTCCTTTACACAATTTAATACAAATTACAGGACCAACACTTCCTACGTACGTACACAAAGCTCGGTGCACAAATAAACTGCGATAATTTCCCGGTTTCGTTTCATCTTTGTTCGAAGACGCAGGGTCTTACACCCCGTATTTCGTATTCCTTATTCCTCTATCATTGCCTCTTACAAGAACTGTAGAAATCACCCTACTAGACGTACAGGTGTTTTACTCGTTATTTTACTCCATTTGTCAAAGTTATGGACAAAAGTACTCACCTTTGATTTCTCTGCTTTTGTTCCACGCCGCTGCATTCTGTCACCACAGCTTCGGAAGGACCTTCCTCAGATATATCTACCGTCACCGCCTGCGCCTGAATTTACGCCAGTAGACACCACCTCTGTCTATTCCGGCCTTGACTTCTTCTTTACCAAATTTTTGCCTTCGATTCCGACCTCACCACCTGTCTTCAAACACACGCATCACTGCGGGCCCCAACATGGCTGTGTGTTTAGTACCTAATACGCTTCCTCTTCCGTGGCCCCAGCATGGCTTTGTTTAGTACTATACAACAGAACCGACACAGGCTGTTAATTTTTATGCTTCCCGATAAAAAATTTTGTATTCAAGGAAATTGGGTTCTCCTGAACGTCTGATGGACGAAAGCCGTAAAGAGTTGGTCGTTTATAAGACAACCGTTTTAACTAAATTTTATCCCTTAACCCAACATTTGTATTTAAGGCACGTTGTGGTACTCTGTCACTGCAATGGTTGAAAGGCACAAACAGCTGGTCTTTTACTCACCACCGGGTTTAATTTCATTTTATCCAATAAATCAGTCTGTCTTTATGCCACCTTGGATTTTATGTTGTTGTAATGGAAGAAAGCCAAGGGGAGCTGACACTTTTAAACTGAGACACTTTTTGAATATAATAATGGTCCTCAAAATGGATTTAATCTTTAGTTGTAGTGCAGGAAAGCCATAAAGAGTTGGCTCTTTATTCAAAAATGCATTCGAATATGCTATTGTGCGATCACTAACATTTGTATTCAAGTAAAATGGGTACTCTCCGTTGTTATTATGGACGAAAGAGTTGAAAATTGGGGTTGTTTTAATAAAGTTAACGGGTTTATTTTTACTCCTTAGCCCATTATATTTTTGTTAATTCCGTTTCACCCCAATGCATTTCCAACTTGTGTAGTACGCTACATTTCCACTGTCCAAACCGCGGTTATAGGTCATCACTTCCTTTTCTAGAATTATTCCCTTTCGTCGTTCGTACTTGTCAGGTTGCAACGTGGAGGCTTCTTTGCCATATTATTTGCTTTCCACACCTGTCTTCAGAATATGTGAATACACTACAGAAATTACCACAAATATAATACACATTTGCTAGTGGAATTGTGCCTTTGACCAAGAAAGAAGACGAAAAAAAATAACCATAAGAAAGTATGAAAGACAAAAAGAAGATGAAGAAGATTGTATCCACAAAAGGGAGAAGATGGGCAGCCATTTACTTTTATTTATTGATGTTTTTTGATGTTTTTTAGATGGATTGTTGTCTTTGTGGTTTATTAATGCCGTTCAATACTTGGGAATTGAATGGACATTTGGCCTCTCATATGAAGTTAGTTGAAGTTCGCGGGAAAAGACTTCTGATTTTGTTTTTTTGTTTTTTCAATCCTTTCTCCGTTCCACTAGTTTTTGAGAAAACTTGTAGGAAATTATTAAACCAAGCTAGTGCAATCAAACTTGTAGGAATTTTGTTTGGTTAATATGGTGGGCCAGAGTAGAGTTCAATTTCAAGTTGTACCAAAACTAGTAGCAGTCAGGCCATGATATATATGTGTGTTTGTGTGTGGAAGGACCGAGAGTCGCAATATATGAGCTGAAGTAGTACAAATGCATCTCTATTTGTGTTTTTGACTTTTTATAAGTAGTAATTTCGGTCGTACTTTTCATTGTGTGTAGTCAAAGTCCTGCTTGATCAATAGAAAAATCCCTTTGCCTCTTTGATCGTTTACCTTGAATATTTGTCTGTGGATTTGTGATTGATTATCAATTTAGGTCCATCAGAGTGGTACCAGATCTACGGTAGATTGAAGTATGATAACTCCTAACCCTAATAGTATTTTTTCTGTCCAAAAACTCAAAATAAAGGCAAAATTCTATTTTTGACAGAAATAGATAATAACTCATTTTAAGATATGTAAATTACATCGATATATTGAATCTACACTTGCTCAAGATGCTAATGAGGATAATAAGACGAAAGATAACTTAGGTTTGTCACAAATTCATCACGCATTTCACATATCAGTTTTTTGAAAAAAAATTTTTACGGCTAATACGACAAAAGAGGTTAGAATATATTGGAGAAAACATACAAAAGGATTGACAGGGTCTGGCAAAATAAATTGATGTTATTGAAAAGAAAATTTGAACTTGTGGCGATGGAGAAGTCGGAATCTATTGAACCATATTTTTTCATATTTTTCTCATTTGTGAGATATTAAAAACGAGATGAAACTCAATCAGTATGGCTTTCCTGACAGAACATTTGTGGAGAAATTTCTCAATACCCCACCCATAAAAGTTGATCATGTGATAGCTATTATCCAAGAAACAAAAGACTTGGAGCATTTGAGTATTAGATTTATTGGAAAGTTAGAGGATACTCCGGAAAAAGATACAGTAGAGAAGGCACATAAAAGTTGATCATGTGATAGCTATTATCCAAGAAACAAAAGACTTGGAGCATTTGAGTATTAGAATTATTGGAAAGTTAGAGGATACTCCGGAAAAAGATACAGTAGAGAAGGCACTGCAGACGAAGTTGAATTTGAGAAGCAACAGCGATGTCAAGGAACAAGGTGAACCCAGTCAGAGAAACCCAAGGTATAATAATAGAGGTGACTACAATAACAGAGGTAGTCGTGGTAACACTAATAGAGACAAAGGAGGTACATCAAATCATGAACATAATAGAGGTAACAATTTAATTTTAGAGGTGGTCCTGATAGAGGCAGAAATGGTAATTTTGGTAGAGAAAATAATTTTTAGCTTAATTTTTTATAGAGAATTTAATGTTATATTTGTGAAAATTTGGGTCATAGACAATTTGAATGTAGATTTGAAAAAAAAATGTAGAAAGGAATTTTCAGCCTAAGATTGCTGACAATCAAGTGTAAGATAATAATAAAAAATTTGAGACTTTATTATTAGCCTGTAATTCTATTGATGTGGTTGATAAAAAAAAAGGTAATATTTGGATACGAGTTGCAGTAATCATATGTCTGACAAAAAAGAATTATTTATTGAATTTGATGAATCTATCCAGGGTGAAATTAAATTTGAAAATAACACTGTTTTATCAATATTTGGCAAAAAAAATTTTCTATTAGCCTGATGATGGATGTGGATTTACTAATTTTATTTCTGATGTTTTCTATGTTCTTGGGCTGCATCATAAATTGTTGAGTATTAGACAGTTGTTTGAGAAAAAATATAATATTCGTATCTCTAATTGTACTTGTACCATTTTTTATAAAAAAAATGTTGGAATGATTGCTAGTGTGTCAATGACTTCAAATCGCTTATTTGCATTGAATTTGAGTACTGCCAATTTTTTCTATTTGAGTATGATGATAGGTGACGGTAATTGATTATGGTATATGCGATTTGATCATTCGAATTTTGATAATTTGAGTTTTTTGGCCAGTAAAAGAATGGTTGGTTGGTTGCCTAGTATTAGAAATTTTGGTAGAATATGATATATGTGTATTTTGAAAAAGCAACACAGGGATGCTTATGTTTTTCGAACTGATAAATCATGGAGAGTCAGAATACCATTAGAAATTATTTATTCAAATTTATGCACTACGAAAGTCCCTTCTAATGGTGGTTGCAGGTACCTTTATTGATAATTTTAGTAGAAAAGCCTTGGTAAATTTTTTGAAGCAAAAATTCGATACTTGTGATGTAACGCCCCTACTTCTTCCAAGGGCGAACCAAAGGGTATGCGCGAAACGCCTGCTCAAGTCTCGTCGGGGCTCACTACAATCCATAATTCAAAACTAGAAATACTTCAAATATTTTCAATATACATTGAAAGAACTCTAAAACACAATTAGTTAACCTTCAAACTTAATACAACTCAAAAGAATATGTATTATAGTCGTCTGCTATAATACAACTTAAAATTTCCAAAAGAAAAAAACTTAGTACTATTTACGAGTACTCTCGGTCTTGAACCCTGTTAAGGAAAACAAAAGTGTGGAATGAGTAAAACAACCCAATGAGCTTCCAAAACACCTAAACAGTTCTAATAAATCAAGTAAATCTAGCATAACACATGTGCGGTTCAAAATTTCACATTGGCACATTAAAATGAGACATTTATCATTTTACAGAAATAAACACACATTAAAAGGATATGGTGTTCACGTGGAACTGTTTTGGTCAGCTACACCATATAACCCCAATAATTTTTCCAGTTGTCTGGCCATCATTTTATTCCTCCAGTGGTAATACTTGAGTATAC